GATGGCTGGCTGTGGTGAAATTGATCACTCAGTAAACATGCTTCCTACAAACAGGAAAGCGAATGAGTCCTGTGCTAATACTGCACCTTCTCTAACTGTCCCTGAATGTGCCATTTGTCTGCAAACATGTGTTCACCCAGTCAGTCTGCCTTGTAAGCATGTTTTCTGCTATCTGTGTGTAAAGGGAGCTTCATGGCTTGGAAAGCGATGTGCCCTCTGTCGACAAGAAATTCCCGAGGATTTCCTTGACAAGCCAACCTTATTGTCACCAGAAGAACTCAAGGCAGCAAGTAGAGGAAATGGTGAATACGCGTGGTATTATGAAGGAAGAAACGGGTGGTGGCAGTATGATGAACGCACGAGTAGGGAGCTGGAAGATGCTTTTTCCAAAGGTAAAAAGAGCACTGAAATGTTAATTGCCGGGTTTCTGTATGTTGCTGATCTTGAAAATATGGTTCAATATAGGCGAAATGAACATGGACGTCGCAGGAAGATGAAGCGGGACATAATAGATATACCAAAGAAGGGAGTGGCCGGACTTAGGCTGGACTGTGATGCTAATACCGTAAACCTAGCAAGAGAGAGCTCTGCCGATGGAGCGGACAGTGTATCGGCACAGAGTGGAGCTTCGGTTCAGCCTCTAGTGTCGTCGTCTGTGAGGCCCCTGACGTCAGTAGATGGTCAGTTAACGAGCCCTGTGACACCATCCCCTGATGCAAGCACTTCTCTGGAAGACTCTTTTGCTCATTTACAACTCGGTGGAGACAGCCTGGCTGAAAGGAGTCATAGGGGGGAAGGAGAAGAAGATCGTGAATTACCATCCTCAGGCAGGGTACCGGCACCAGACACCTCCATTGAAGAAACTGAATCAGATGCCAGTAGTGATAGTGAGGATGTGTCAGCGCTTGTTGCACAACACTCCTTGACCCAACAGAGACTTTTGGTCCCTAATGCAAACCAGACAGTATCTGATCGATCAGATCGATCAATAACTGATGGATCACTAGCAGGGGGTGGAACAGTGAGTGCCAGTGTCAGATCTAGAAGGCCTGATGGACAGTGCACAGTAACTGAAGTTTAAATAA